GCCGAACCAACCAGTTGCTTTAGTTCACTTTTTAAGAGCGTTTGTTCATTTTGATTCAAAATACCTGCTTGCAAAGCAGAAATAAAGCCTGGGAGAAATAAAGCCCCTCAAGTTGCATACACCCCATGCCAAGAGAAACATTCTCTAGGCAGCCAGCCCTAGATTTCCAACTTTTGCAAGACACAAAATTGCTCCCCAGATTTCAGAGACCAGCACAAGTTTTTATGTTGCTAAGTGAAGGCATTTCCTAAGCTGCTGCCCGCTCTCACCATCATTCCAGGCACATAGAAACACACCAGCCAGGCAGGGTGTCATTCCAGAATAAAGGAGTCCTCCAAATGCAGGACGTGGAGCTTTTCAAAGTGCTCACGACGTGGTCTATTTCGCATTCCATTCTAAACCAAAGAGAAGCTTCAGCAGTGACTGGGCCTTGTTCCTGGCCCAGTGTGGGGGGCTTCCGGGGTAGGCGTGGGGCGGAGGGATAATTCTGTGGTATTTTGACTGATACCATCATCGCCTCGGGACACCATGCGGAGATGCCCAGTGAGAACCAGGAAAGGCATTTTTCCCTTCCCTTGTCGCCTTTGCCACAGTAAGAGTCCCTTCTTGAGACAGTCCCCTGTCTCCGTAGCCTTAGAAACATCTCAATCTAGGGAGGAGATGCCCCCCCCCCAAAGAGACAGCGACATCATGGCATGGGTCATCTTCCCTCAATGTGTCAGGGCACTCGGCACTGTGCCAGTCCCCGTGGGCACTCAGTATGCCTTACTTCTGCTGGGCAGAAGGGGGCTCAGTGGTGCGTACACAACAATTAGTCCGTCTGGCAGCGCGTCCAAGGGTTGAAATGTCGGCCGTCTTCACTTTGGTTGGGATGGGGGCAGTCTGAGCACTCTGCTGCTCACATCATCCAGTGAACTATGTGGCACTTTCTAGAAATCAGATCCACCTTCTAAGGCCAAAGATTCCACACACACTCCCCATTAAGAGGGGACATTCTCTAAGAAGTGGCCCAAAGTACACCACAGCGGGCTGGCCTCCCAGAATCTAGACACACGGTCTTCTGACGGGGGGACGTTCACAGTGGCCACCCAGCCACGGTTCCTTGGGACCCCACGCCTGGGTTTGCTCCACCCCCAGGCCCCCCTGCCAGCCAAAGGCGGGTCGGGAAACCCAAAGATACTGCATCTCCGGCAAGTTCACCCCCATGGCTCTCATTTCCTGAAGGCTCCTAGGAGGCTTTAAGGGTGGGGGACAGAAAGTAAAGCCATCTTTGCTCCCCGGACCCAGGCTCTCCACTCTCCCTCCTGCCCTGCCTGTGGCTCTGTGGGAAGGCATTCTGATGAGAGAAAGCAGGGGCTTTGGGGAAACCCCCTCCCCCTCTTTTAAAATCCATTCTTACACTGAGACTTCCCACGGAGTACCCCTCCGTCACTTGGATGAGCCCCAGAAGGAGAGCGGCGGCCCCGCTTATGGCAATGTAAACACAGGACGGGCCAGGGAAGGGTATTTATTGATGAGTGGCTTGCGATGAACATATCGTGAATGCAAATGGCTCTTTCTAAAGTGTTCGCGGTGTGCCCGATCCATCGTCAACCCCCGCGCACCAGGTCTTCTGAGCGCTAATCGTTTGCTCAGCAAAGCCTCTCTTGGTGGATGACGCAGAGGCCAGACTCGGCCTCGGCCTCGGCCCCAGCAGAAGCACCGAGGCGACCTCAATGAGGCTTTGCTGTCACGATATGCACCCAGTGTGGCCCCTGTCCCCACCCAGCCCCACCCCCGTGCAGTGGCGGGGACTACAGTGCAAGCCAACCTTTATCTCATTTTCTCTCCCACAGATGGAGGTAGTGAGTACCTTCAAGAGAAGCGGTTCATTTCAGGGTGCTGTGCGCCGGCGGTCCTCGGTCCTCAGCCAGCTCCATGACGTAACCAATCTTTCTACCCCTACTCACGTAATTCTCTCTGCTGCCAATCCCACCAGTGCCGCTGGGAGTGAGTCTTGAGTCCCCTTTTCTCTCATAAATGGCATCTCTGGGGGAGGAAGAAGCCTCCCGCCTCTTCCTTCTCTTTTTTTCCAGTCTTGCATCCTCCGCTCACCGAGGCTTTTCCGTTCTTTCTTTATCGCCCTGTTCAGTCCTTCCCGCCCAGACGGTGTGTCTCTCTAAAGCCACATCCTCTTATGAAATGTACTGAATCCATGGCACTGCTGGACCTTCTGTTCTTTCCTTTGGTTTGGGGG